GTCTAGACATTATCCAACATGATGTCTGGACATCAACCTTTTGTCAAGGATGGCTTTCCATAAATTTGTATAACAACGTAGCCTTAAATGGCAAGTATATATTGATCAAACTTGTGATATTAATATTTGATGATGCAAATTTATCATTCAATATACCCAGAACATTATTATATAACACTTAAAAAAATAAAAATTCTGGGCGAATCAGCTCAAAAGCCATTTAAGTTATAATTAATTTGTAAAACCAGTTCCCTGAAATTTATTAGTAGTTTTCACTGGTTCGGAGACGGATCACGAATTAATAAATAAAAATTCAACAAATGTATAATAATAGTAAAAAAAAGTCATTTAACAATAAGAAAAAATCACAAAATCAAGAACGAATGATAATAAAAAGGGTATCACTAAAGCTCACCGGTAATGATGGTCACCATACCAGCATTATGATTTACTTTTGGGCAGAATTAAAAATCTAATAAATTACTGGCCGGCATTACATAATAAATTCACTACCGGTGATATTTAGTAACACTAATGAAAAACCCGAAAAATAAAAAAAAAATCATAAAATTAACCAACTAAAAAAGATTTATTCGTTGATTTGAACCAAGAAAATAATAAAAAATAAATGTATCGAACTAAAACCAAAATAAAAAAATGACTTAAAATTAAAAAAATTTATTTTTTGATGTTGAAATAAAAAACTGAAAATAAAAAAGAATTAAAAAAGATCTAACTAAAATTTTTTTTGAGAAATTTGGGATTACTTGAATTTTATTGTATTTTCAGATTGATAAGATGCGATTTTTAATTCTAATCTGCAAATCACAATTTTTAAGTAAGTTCACTTCCAAGCAACTTTAAATTTTTGTATAACATTGCTGTTTAAAAGTTACTTATAAGCTTGTTTAAAAATCAAAAATTTTTAGTTTATAATCGCATCTTCTCAATCTGAAAATGCAATAAAATTTAAGTAATCCCAAATTTTCTTAAAATTTTCTTGTTTTTTTTATTATAATGCTAAATCACATTATTCGAATACTGCAATATTTAAATAAAAAATTGGAAATAAAAAATAAAAATATTTTTTTTCGGTTTGAAAAATATTTAAATAATCATTAAAAACCGGTAAAAAAAGGCATTTGAAAAAAAACAAATAAAAAAAAGGCAAACACAGCAATGCGATCTGCTGCGGCTGATTGCATCATCTCAAAAGGATAGGAATAGCCGAAGATATATACATCACATCATATATCCGTACAAAAACTTTTTAGTTTTCAAAAATTTATAATTATTTTACCTCTTCTGACACATCACGCGTTTTATGTTACACGATTCAAAATTTCAAATTATTTATAAACATCACTAAATTTTTTTAGTTATATAGACGTAATATTTCAACCATATTAACTGTTAAGTTAAGTTAGTACATGAATTACAAAAATTTTCTGAAAGCACGATTGTGTAACATTTTATTTAAATATTATTACTCTCAAAAATACGTGATAAATATCGTCTAAAATGGAAACCACTAGACAGATTCATAATTTTTTTAATACCTTGCAGGTTTTTTGAGATCATCATTATTAGATTTACAATACGTAGTCGATAGATATTAAGTAATTTTAGTTGTGAACCTTTTAATTATAAACTAGGTATTTGATGCAAATGACACGTTAATATAGAAATATGATGATATGAGGACAATGCTTTTTCTTGTCATTTATTTTGTTGCTGATTTCACATCCTTTTTTTTTTTAGTTTTTTCAGTACGACTCTCTACTTCTCCTGTAATTCGGGTACGGCTTTTCACTTCTCTTATGGTAAATAATTTCATTTTTTTTTTTTAGAAATAGCATTCCGCTTCATCAGTATTCTATAAATTGGCATCATTCTATTAATTAACCATTCTTTTTTTTTTGTATTTCTAATTAAATTTTTTCGATTTCTTTTCATTCGTTTAGATAATAAGTTGAAATTTATATGATTACTGTATTAATTTTAAAAAATTTAATATTATTACTTCAATAAAAGCACTCAAATAAAGTCGTTAAATATAAAAAACATGCGTATTGCAAGATCATTGAAAGATGACAAGTTCTACATGTCCTGATGAGCAACAACAACGTTATATTGAATAACTTGCTTTATGGAATTTTGTAGTACTCGGGGAAAACACACTTAAATCATTCCGAACGTAAGAATATCGAAATATTTATCAAAATGTCGGCAAAGTATAGAAAACCATTAACTGAACTGCAAACAAATAAAATAAACAATTCAAAAAAATCAAAAGATCATTTCAAATAGATTGATATATTAATTTATCAAGAATAATATTAATCAATATGCATAAGTAACGATGTATCAATACTCCATAAATATCTTGCCAAATTAAAGGAAAATGATATCAGATGGAAAAATTTTTGTTATTTTTGAATCTTTGATGAAAAGGTAGGGATGGAATCGGACCAGACCGGTCTTTTGACCATTTGTAGTATCGGTCTTTAAAACTTTCAAATTTATTTTATTTTCAACGGCGTTATGATAATCATTGATCAGGTCACATTAATAAATTTCAACCTTAATTTATTATTTATTACCTTGTCAATAAGGAATCGAATGATATGGTCATTACAAAATATCAAATATGATATTTCAAAACGAAAATTTGATTAATAATATACGAATCATTAATTTTTTTAAGAAATTTAATTTTTATAAAAATATTCATAATATGCATATTTTCTTTCGAACCTTTTTTTGAAAAAAAAGTATAAATACATGGACTAAACATCATACGACTTTTTACTTTAATTCAAAATTTAAATTTTTTTAAAAAAATATAAACTTTTATTATTATAATAGATCGTATTTTAAGATATAGATATATTCCACGATTTTTCTACTGTTCTCCTAATAGAATTAATATTCATATAAATATAGAGATACTTTCATACAAAAAAAAAATAAGATTTAACAAAAGAAAAATAAATCGAACTTTATTTATTTTAAAAATTATTTTAATTATTAGATATAATTAGATTTAAATAAATATTTTTTGAGATCAGCTAGTAATAATAAATAAATTATTCTAATTAGCAATAAATACAGTTTAATACTCTACCTATCTATCTATTTACTAATATATATATGTATATTTAAAGGAAATTGACTTAATAATTATATGACATATATTGTGATTTAAGATAAATTCGTATTAATACCTGACAAGTCTTAGCTAAAAATTTATAAGAAAAAAACAATATCATGATACCATTAATACCAAAAAGTAGACAAAATTTTAGGATTTCCTTTGGTTATCCAGATTTAATAATTTTAAATGAAACAAATCATCGAGTTAATTATATCTGATTTAACATTTAATCAGCCTTATACCTAAAGGTTCTGATCATGCATTAAAATATTTTTTATTCCAATTTTTCTTAGAAATTTTTCTACAGAACAAAATGTAAATAAATTTATTACTTACTATATTTCATTCTGCATTTAGTAATTAAAAAAAAAGTCATATTTTTAATATTCTCTTCACTCGTTTCATTCCTAAAAAAATTAATAATGTCAAAATTAAATAGTGAATTAATACCAATCTAAATAATAAAAAAAAAAATATAAAGAAAAATATAAAAAATCTCTCCCTCAATCTGTAAAAGGTTCATCTGTTCCCACGTTTAATCTATTTAATTTTCAAAAGTTCATACCAATATTTTAAAAATATTTATTTTTATAAACAGTTAGTTTCATTAAAAAATATACATCACTAAACTCTTTTCATGCATGTACAATACACAATATGTCTCTATTTTTGACTCTTTATTTATTTTAAACATTTTTCTCAATTTTTTCTTTAGTAAATTTTTTCGGTTAAGTGATTCTCGATTTTCCAAAAAAATTATGAGTAAAAATTAATAAAAAATTATGAAGATTCTAGAAGTAAAAAGAATTTTTTTTAAAAAAAAAAATATTAGCAATAAAAGTTAAAACGCTTACTGTGATACCGCAACAGTATTGATTGTTCTGATTTAATTAATTTTTCAAGTTAATGAATATACTCTTTTTCCATAGGACTTTTCTGTTGAATTAATACAAAGTAAACAAATCAAATTTTTTAATTATTTATAATAAAATTTTAAATATATAGATATGAAACTTGATAGTAGAAAAAAACATGTAATTTTATTTATTCCTTTGCCTCAAGCTTAAATTATAACATTCAAAATAATGTTTTCTTGAATGTACCAAATTCACTTCATTTTTCTTATTCTTCCAACTCGTTTCACTTATAGTATAAAAAATTCTTAACGTATTTTTTATCATATTCAAAGCAGGATATAGTAGAATAAATTCATGATCCTGAAAATTAAAAATAATTTGAAAGAATCATAGTTTCTGAATCATTGAATTTTTTTCGTACTACCAACGACAAATCTTTAAAATCACGTGACTGAACTTTTAACGACAGGTTTGTGCGACAGAACTTTTTCTTGGTTTCTTTCTTTCTTTTTTTTTTTGTAAAATTTCATTTTCATCCTCTCAGAACTTACATATCGAAAGATTTATTTAGTCAAAAACATATATAAAAATTATTATCAAATTTTTGGAAGAGTAACTGAATCTTAAAGCTCAAAGAGAATCATTTCGATGATACTTTCTATAAAATGGAAATTTATTGGCCTTACTTTCCTAATATGATTCGTTACAAGAATCATATAAAGTCTTAAGCCCTTTTAGCAAACCAAGGTGATTATTCTCGTTACATGTAATTTTAAGCGAGGTGTTAAGAAATATGAGATTATTAGTAGTAGCAAGTATTCCGCAAGTTAAATCACATAGGTGCACTCACAAATCCAATCCACGTTCACAGTTTACAAATTGATTTGGATCCATTTGGATTGTATTTTACTATTAAATTTTCCAATCCAGGTAGGGTATGCACACTATTTACCGTGCGTTTACCACCATCCACCATCATATCAACCACCATTTACCACAAATAAATGGATTGAATTATAGATTTTATATTAAATGTGAAATAGTAGTGAATACGAATTGGATTATGTGCTGAATTTGCGAATACACTCATAAACATACAACCATGGATTTTTCATTTGTAGTCATACGCGGTTGTCGAAATTAATCTTTGTATCAATCACATTAAGTAGGATAAAGACGTGAAACCTATTGTAACAAATAACAGTGAAGCTATGATTTACAAATATATTCAATAATTTTATATCAAATAACTATCCAAAGACAAAAGTTACGTTCGTGTTGATTTTGAATTCTTAGGTAACTTACAAGAAAATAACTTATAAAATGAAAAGAAGTTTGTTCAAGTGTAAAAATTCTCTCTGTAAATATCGCTGTCTTATCTATAGTAGGGGGCTACTATTTGGTCCATAAATAATTTTTTTATTTTCATTTAAAAATTTTTAATTTTCATGTTATTAAAAAAAGGGTAAAGTTATTCCTCACCTCTAAACGTTGATTGGCTAATTAACACTACACGGGATATTTATTTATGTTTTTGATTAGAAAAAAAAAAACTTAATGAACGATCAAAAGCAAAATTTATTTTACAATCTTTAACAACAAAGACTTTATTTTATAAGTATTTTAAAGAAATACCAATCAAAATCAAGAAAAATACATTTTTTTTTATAGCAAAGAAGTAATTGACGTTTATTTATTTATTAAATTTAACAAAACAAGTCAAAGACAAGAGCGCTACAAAGATAAAAAAAAAATGTTATTTCTTGTATTTCTTAAATTTTTTAACTGGAATAATTATTTAAAATCACATTTTACACAAAAAGTAATAGTATAATTCGATAGTAAGCGTTAAAATCATCCTAGTAAAAACTTATATTTATTGATAAAAAAAAAATCAGATAAAAAAATAATTTTTGTTTTTTAAAATAAAATAACAATCATTTAACAAATAAGAAAAAAATTTTTATATGTCATGTTCCTTACAAAATTTAATAGCAAGTTCATAATCACCATAAGCAGCTAATTTCATATAATATTTAGCTTTTTCTATATCTTTCGTACAACCAATACCATTGTAATACATACCTCCAGTGTTATACATTGCTACTTTAAAACCATCTTCAGCAGCTTTTTCTAAATATTTAAGAGCTTCTGAAAAATTTTGATCAACACCTTTGCCATGATACAAACAATCTCCATATCTTAATTTTGCTTCAGGGAATCCATTTGCTTCATCATTAGCAACTTCTTTAAATAATTCAGCAACAATTTCATCTTTATTTGTAGGGTCCTCAATCAATTCTTTTGAAATGTAATATGCTTTATAATATTTTGCTTTGATTTGATTACGGTTTGCTGTACCTCCTGTATTACCAAGGTTTGCATAAGCTTCAAAACATTTATATGCAGTTATTACATCTCCAACTAGTTTATCATGATTATTATACAACTTATGTTGTTTTTCTGCATCAGCAAGTGTCATATATTTAAATGATTCAAGATCTGGAAGGGCGTATGCATCAATGTTGTCTGCTCGTTTTGGACGAGACTTTTGCATAGAGTTGTTTCTACTGTTTCCTCTTAGGTTTGGGCCACTAGAACTTGATGTAACTTGTGAATATTCCTTGAAACAATTATTAAGAACTTCAAATATTTTCGTGATTTTTGGCCTAAAATCTGGATCATGATGAACGGCTAAAAAAATATGTAAAAAAAAAGAAACCAATTAAGTACAACAAATAAAATTGTAATTTAAAATATTTTCTTTTACATACCTTCAATTTCTAATTGTTTGAATTTTTCTGGCATTTGACTATTTTCAGAAAATGGTTCTCTATACTTTTTATTACATACCTTATCAATTATATCCCTAATACCATTAATACCCTGATGTGGAATTCTTTCTTCAGCAATTTCCCAAAGTAAGATTCCAAAACTATAAACCTCACCACATCTTTGTTCATGTTTGTAATTTAGCACCCCCTCCAACAATTCAGGTGCACAATAACGAGTTTGGTCTAAGTTTAGGTTTGGAAAACATATAGCCTGTCCGCCGGGTTGGGAACGAATTAATTTGAAATTTGCAAGTTTTGCTGTCTCATTAAGTGTAATTAATATATTTTCAGCCCTAATATCTCNCTAAAAAAAAATATGTAACTAATTAAGTATAATGAATAAAATTGTAATTTGAAATTTGCAAGTTTTGCTGTCTCATTAAGTGTAATTAATATATTTTCAGCCCTAATATCTCGATGAAAAATCTAAAAAAAAAAAAATTAAAAAAAAAATTTTTCGTTAATTAAATAAAAGCTGGTTATATAATTACCTCTACAGTTCTTAAAAAATTTAATCCACGAGCAATATCAAGAGATATACGTAATTTTGATTTAAGGTCGAAATCATTTTTATTTTGATAAAATTCACGCAAATTTCCACGTTCGGCCCATTCAGTCACCAAATACCATTGATTTCCATCAGAAATCATTCCGTGAAATTTTATGATGTTTTGCCAATCATGAAGTTCTTTAAGAATTGCAACTTGTTTTTGTACAATCACTTCGTCCTCTCCAGAGATAGTTTTAAAAGCGAATTCAGCACCTTTATTTGTTTTTTTATACCATTTATTTACACGTCTATATTCATCTGTTTTCCCATTATCATCAATTTCATAATCAGAAAATTCTAGTGGATGTACCTGAAAGACATCACTAATTTTTGTTTGACTTTTAAATTTTCCTATCATTGTATTATTCATTGCATTAACTTTTACAATTGTTGAAAAAAACTTTTTACTTGAGTCTGCGAAGCAGTCGTTATCATCAATACCAGCCACCATTTCTTGTAGATACTATAATTTATTAAAATAATATAAATTAATTTTATGTTTCAATAATAAAACTCAATTTTTTTAATCTTACTTTAAATAAATCATCTTGATCGGATTTTAATTGTTCAAGTTCATCAGCAATTTCAACGTTAAAAGAAAAAGACAATAAGTTAATACAACTGTCGAATTCCATACATAATTTTTTAAAAATTTTCTCAACACTTTTCTCTTTAAGGTATTTTATCAAAGTTTTCATTAGAGAGATTTCTGATATAAATTTTTTAATTTGTTTTATAATAGTAGATAATTCTTGTAAACGTATATAATTTATTTTATTAAAAAAATCTTCTCTGTCTTTTTTTTTATCTCTAAGATCTCGTACGGCTAATTCTGCAACACGAACTCGATTTTTTAATATTTCACAAGTTCGTTGATTATGTTCAGCAGCTTCCACTAATTCGATGATTTCGTTAAAAAAATTTTCAATTTCATTAATTAAAGGAAGAAATCTTGCAAATGGAACAACCATTAAAGAACTGTCTTTTAAATTTTCAGCGAAATCATCTTTTTTATTATTTTTTGATCCATCATCTTCCATTACTAATAATTTACTAATAAATAATTTAATCAAAAAAAAAGAGAATTTTTTTTTTTTTTACGAAACTACACAGTACAATCATCGTTTTATTTATTCATTTATGTGCTGTGATACCATCGTGATCAGAAATCCCACGCACAATGTTTATAGTGGCGTGTGACCTAGAGATTGGAATCGATTATCGAATCTTTGTAGATTCGATTGTTTGTTCCTTAAAAGATAATCCATTTTAAGCTTTAATAATTAATTTCGTGATTAGTAAATATATAAATTCTGAATTAAAATTGTAAAATCTATTATTAAGAAATTATGTATCGTTACTAATACTCAACTATAACATCGTTGCTGATCATTTGCCGATCATTTCGTCATTTTTGAGTTTTTGAAGGCCATTATCGATCAATTTTTCTTTTTTGAAAATATTTTAAACCATGCATTTAATTCTTGGATGCAATTAATTTTTTTTGTTTAATTTCAATTTTCTCTTATTCGATTTTGATTCGATTATCGATTCCAATCAGTGTGTGACCTGGATCTGCGCTGATCTATTCCATATACATTTCGCTTGTTCCAAATTCTACCCTTGATGTTATTCAAATAACTTCAATAATAATAATTGAAATTTCTCTATATCTTTCAATATTTTAGAATAATATTAACATTTAAATTTCTAAGACTTGTTTCTTCCTCTTTCACCAACTTTTGTTACTTTCATCTCCATCAGAGTATCCAAAATTATTTCTTCTTCCGTAACTTTCCATATATGTTTTCAATCTCCTTCCTTCTTGAATTTTAGACACATACTTTTCATTATTCCATATACTTCTTTTCCAAATAATAGCCCATAGGCCGTTATAATCTACACTTCAGTTCTTTCTACTATTTATAGCACCTTTTTACTGAATCAATTTTACTAAGTCTATTTTCGTTGTTTATAAAATTTTAATCAATTTCTTGATATATAAAATATTTTGCAAACTATCTAGATCCATAATAATAGCTTTTTTGTCAATGAAAAAAAGAAACTTCTTTTATTCATCTTCTAAATTCCCAATCTACTATTATATCGTTATATATTTGCCTATTAACAAGTTGTAATTAATTATATTCCATTGACTTTAAATCTTTTAAATAAATTTCTTGCTATTTCATCTTTCTATTACTGATCTTTAATTAGTTTCTTAATACATACTTTTATAGTAAGAAGTTTTAAAAGATCAGACTAGTATAATATAAAGTCATCAACATGTTGAAAGTTGTGAGAAATGTAATCGCATATGTTACGTAATACGTTTTCAAAAATTGGACTAGTGGCAATGATAATATTGATAAATTTATTCAAGACACTCAACTATCAGCTCATTACAATTATATAAATAAATAATGAATACCTTGTAATAGATTTTCATGATATTATTTATGAATGGAGTGATTTACATAATTGGTAATTTATTAGGTTTACTAAAATTGTTAATATACAAAAATAGACAATTTTTTCATTAATTTAATAACGAAACAAAAATTATATGATGGAAGTTTACGAAATTATTTAGACGAAAGATTGTTATAAAATGCTATACTTGAACTTGGATTTATTCATGAAAAGGAATAATTCATCGAGTACAAATTAAAAAAATATTAAAACTTAAATTATAACCTGCGGATTGTTATATATCAGAAAGTACGAAAAATAATACATATATTGTTTTACATACCTTATACAGCTCCTGACACCAAAGCTGTTGATATAATTTCTGGATCACCCTACTATATTATGATTTAAGCCATAATAAGGATATAGCAATAAAGGATTTAGACCTGTTTAGGAATTAACAATGTTTTACGAAGATGTGATACAACTCAAAAACAATTGAATTATGATCACAAATTAAGGAAACGGATGAAATAAACAATAATTTGTTAAATAACAATATAACTTTAACTATTTTAGGCATATCATAGTATAATACACATTCAGAAGCTATTTATACAAATAGATTACTCAATTTTAATAATCTTCCTGAACCAAAAATTCCAACGATTATATAATTAGCGAGGAATTTGTAATTTATTTGTATATGGGGTGTTTCAAATACTGGTTTTAAATTTTCTATACTGATCATTTGAATGATTTGATGCTGGGCAAAAAAATAACGAATCGAATTTGTTAAATAAGTCAAAATTGACGTTCAAAATCAACTTTGCTGCTTTAAACAAAATCGAATTGCACATACCATATGTTTCTTTTTAAATTGTATTTATTAACAAATTTTTTACAGTCACGTGAAAGTGCACGTGTAAATTAAGAAATTTTCTATTTAAATAATTTTATTATTTTAAAAATGAAAATCAGTTTTTAAAGATACTAATAAAACTTTTAATTTGTTAAATAGAATCTTTACAAATTGAATTGATATATCTTAATTGAATATTGATTAAGATGTAAATTTTTTAATCTATATGGTTAATGATTCGTATTCAATATATTATTTTATTGTTTGTAGGTAAAAATGTTTTGAGCAAAGGTCATAGCCTAAAAGTTATAATTAATCAATGTTTATATATTATGATATTATTATTTTAAGAATTTTATATTTTTCGAAAATTCTGTTTAACGTTGGTTTTTCTTAACCTTTGCTTTAGTACATTCAAAATAGTTTTTTTTTGCTTTTCTAACGATTAATATGACATTTTTTTTTTACATTATATTGAGAATTACGCTAAACAGGATTTTAAATTTTAAATCATAATCATATATTGAACTATATAGTTATTAATTGGTTAAATAAATTATAAATTTTAACGATATATAAGACGCAAAATAAGGTCAAGAATTAACTCAATATTTATTTATGACTTGAAATATTTTAATTAATGTATTTATTTGATCTAATTTAAATCAATTTTTAATCGCAAATTTTATATACAAATAAAGGAAAATAAAAGTTTCAGATTTTATATTATTTATTTATATTTACTATTGACAAAGTACAATATTATATGAAAATATAAAAAACGCATATTTTCTTATCTTAGCAGTCAGTAATCACTGTCCACTGACCAGAAGTAAGAATTCTTTTGGTGAAGGATCAATTTGTGTCATATAATTTAACAAAAAAATATAAAACAACTTCGTTAATTTCAATTTGTGAATTACTAGTATTAATAAAACGTTGGGTGTACGGTGTACCATCAACTAATTAAACCAAAACTTATAATCGTCAAAAAAAAATCTCTAATAATAATCTTTTATATGATACTTTTACATAACTTATAGTAAATTCCTATTAAAATTCACACGTCCATAACTCTAGATTCCTCTTATTGTTTTCATTCCAAATTCTGTGACACTGTACAGCATTGAGGTTATCCACTATACGAGTAAGATCACAAATCGATTATTGAAGAGATTCTTCTAATTATTAGCTTATACCTTCAGTTATCCTATATCACTTCTAAAATTCTCTTTCCATTTTTCTCGTTTTTCTTTATACATAAATGGATTACGAAGAGATAAACACACAATCCAATAGTTTTGCAATAACTGATATAGAAACGTTTATAGTTAAGTTTAGCAATAATACTAAATTTTTGTTGGTATGTAACATGATTATGAAATTCATGTGTTATTTCACCAGTTTATATGGTATATTAGCTGACTGGTAAAATAACTTGTGTTGCGAAATGATGCAAATGAGAAAAAAATAGGCAACTCTCAATCTATTATTAAGTCATGATTTAAGATATCTAAATTTGACCATTTGTTAGTATTAACCGATACCCAAATTTGAACTCACAAAATTTATTATTTAGTATTACTGTATATATAAAAATCAAAATCCTACTCTAACTTTTCACCATTGATTTTGATCGACATCCGAAAAAATTCTGTGTAAAAAAAATTTGTTACACAATGCATCATTGTGTACTTGTGTTGCCACAAATTTACGTTACAAAAAATAATGATGATCAAAATGGTGATGGCTTATGCGTTTACAAACGTTTATAATGAGTTATACTAATTTTCATTAAATCCAACGTGGGATTAGCTCGGATTCCATATATAATGACGGCAGAAGACATGGGCGGATGATTACAAATGATTACAAATTTCAAATGTTGATCAATCGGACCCGGTTCACCAGCCAGAATCAATGGAAGTAGGAGCGAAATTAATATAACCTTTACAGACTGGGTTTCAGACAAAAGTGGAAATGATAATCAATTTTATTTGGATGCTCGTTGATAGTCGCAAAAATTTTATTACTGCTCACTACGGAGCTCGGTAATAAACCTAGTAATAACATTATCAAGCACAAAGATAAATTTTCTGGCAAATTTTTCTCAATAATAAAATCTGCTAAACAATCTTTTCTTAAAAGTAAAAGTTGTTTCTACCAAAAGATTTGAAAATCCGTTCTAAAAACCTGTGCAAAACTAACTGAAAAACTTAAACTGCTCACTCCCTTCTCAATCTTGAGGGATATATATAACGAAAAATCTCAGCGGGCTAACTTTGACTATGCGTCAAACTTGACCATGGGTCAGCTTGTACACCAGTCACTTTGTCCCATGGACAAGTTGTCCTACTTATATAATCAAGGTCATCAACCGGCTAATCATTAATTCATGTATAAAAATCTAACTAAAATAATAAATATTCTAACTAGTAAAACTATTAATATAGATGCTGTCAGAATTATTTTTTACGGTTACGGCACGTGTCGACGTGTCGTAACGCCGTAATTAAATGTAAATACTGTAACGCCGTAATTTAATTTGACGCCGTAACCTGTAATGTCGTAAATATATGCCGTAAATGACTGAGCCAAGTTCGTAATGCCGGGTCAAAAAAATTTTTTTTTTTCGCGTTAAATCACGTGACGTTACACTAATTTCAAAAAAATGGAAATTTTGTCCCTCAATAAAATCGAAGAAATGGTTACACGAGGTTACGCGAGATTCCAAAAAAGGAAATTTCTTATTGATCATTTTGTATT